TAGATGTTTCACTCACACAGGCTACATGTTCTTGAAGAATATAACTATGTGAAGACACCCTGTACCCACCACCTGTTCTACTGACCGTCTACATATGATATCTACAATGTAGAATGTCCTAAAGTTATTTTTAATGATATACAAGATGTCTTTTCACACAGTCTACATGTTCTTGCAGAATAAAACTATGTGTAGGCACCCTGTACACACCAACTGTTCTACTGACCGTCTACATGTGACATCTACAATGTAGAATGTCCTAAAGTTATTTTTAATGATCTACAAGATGTTTTTTCACACAGTCTACATGTTCTTGAAGAATATAATTATGTGAAGACACCCTGTACACACCAACTGTTCTACTGACCGTCTACATGTGACATCTACAATGTAGAATGTCCTAAAGTTATTTTTAATGATCTACAAGATGTTTTTCAAACAGTCTACATGTTCTTGAAGAATATAACTATGTGAAGACACCCTGTACACACCAACTGTTCTACTGACCGTCTACATGTGACATCTACAATGTAGAATGTGCTAAAGTTATTTTTAATGATATACAAGATGTTTTTTCACACAGTCTACATGTTCTTGCAGAATACAACTATGTGTAGGCACCCTGTACACACCGCTTGTTCTCTACTGACCGTCTACATGTGATATCTACAATGTAGAATGTCCTAAAGTTATTTTTAATGATCTACCAGATGTTTTTTCACACAGTCTACATATTCTTGAAGAATATAACTATGTGAAGACACCCTGTACATACCAACTGTTCTACTGACCGTCTACATGTGACATCTACAATGTAGAATGTCCTAAAGTTATTTTTAATGATCTACAAGATGTTTTTCAAACAGTCTACATGTTCTTGAAGAATATAACTATGTGAAGACACCCTGTACACACCAACTGTTCTACTGACCGTCTACATGTGACATCTACAATGTAGAATGTCCTAAAGTTATTTTTAATGATCTACAAGATGTTTTTCAAACAGTCTACATGTTCTTGAAGAATATAACTATGTGAAGACACCCTGTACCCACCACCTGTTCTACTGACCGTCTACATATGATATCTACAATGTAGAATGTCCTAAAGTTATTTTTAATGATATACAAGATGTCTTTTCACACAGTCTACATGTTCTTGCAGAATAAAACTATGTGTAGGCACCCTGTACACACCAACTGTTCTACTGACCGTCTACATGTGACATCTACAATGTAGAATGTCCTAAAGTTATTTTTAATGATCTACAAGATGTTTTTTCACACAGTCTACATGTTCTTGAAGAATATAATTATGTGAAGACACCCTGTACACACCAACTGTTCTACTGACCGTCTACATGTGACATCTACAATGTAGAATGTCCTAAAGTTATTTTTAATGATCTACAAGATGTTTTTCAAACAGTCTACATGTTCTTGAAGAATATAACTATGTGAAGACACCCTGTACACACCAACTGTTCTACTGACCGTCTACATGTGACATCTACAATGTAGAATGTGCTAAAGTTATTTTTAATGATATACAAGATGTTTTTTCACACAGTCTACATGTTCTTGCAGAATACAACTATGTGTAGGCACCCTGTACACACCGCTTGTTCTCTACTGACCGTCTACATGTGATATCTACAATGTAGAATGTCCTAAAGTTATTTTTAATGATCTACAAGATGTTTTTCTCATACATTCTACATGTTCTTGCAGAATAAACTATGTGGAGACACCCTGTACATACCACTTGTTCTACTGACCGTCTACATGTGACATCTACAATGTAGAATGTCTCAAAGTTCCTCTTAATGATCTACTAGATGTTTCACTCACACAGTCTACATGTTCTTGAAGAATACAACTATTTGTAGGCACCCTGTACACACCGCTTGTTCTACTGACCGTCTACATGTGACATCAGCCATTTGTGGTGTTCCATAGTTCCCTTACATGATCTACTAAATGTTTCACTCACATAGTTGGTTTACATGTTCTTGCGGGGTCGGTGGAAGGATGATCTAAACCATTGGTTTTCGACCGTTACGTTTCAGTATCGAATCCCGTATTGGACACTTTTTTTTATTGAAAAAAATGCTCTAATGGCTCCCAATTCATGAAAAGTTCAACCCCAACAGCGAGTGAAAGTAACCATGGCACATTTGGAAGTGCAAAGTCGAACTGATTTTCACATGTGTAGAAATGTGGTGTACTTATAGTAAAAGCAGTCGCCAACCAAAGCAGTCTACCCACCATGATTATCATGGCCTGTATCACGTGTACTAGGGATAATAAAAAAAAACATGTTCTTGCAGAATACAACTATGTGGTTATAATAAATGAAATCATTCTGGTAGTGTCTTGTCCATGTTGCTCCATGGAAAGGGGGGTGCCCCGTTAGTCAGCCGCATTTCAGAGTTCCCTGTTCACGGTTACCGTAGCGTCTCGGGGCTCAAGCACCGTACTTCGCCCTACAGGACAGTCCTTTATTTGTGCTGCTTCTCCCGCCCGCCATGTAGATGAGGACTTATGGGCAGGAATGCAATTTAGTAAAGTTATTAATAACGGTTTTATATAGTTAACCTGTTACTCCTGTAGAAGGGCTCCAAGGCCTAAAAACTTAATTTAACACTTTTCCTTGGATGGAATCTGTTCTCAAAAATCTTAAATCAAATCAAAAGCGGTGGAAGATGAAAAATGATCATAGTTGGGCGGGAATGAAATCATTAAAGACCATTACGACCTGGTGCATCGATCTGTTGAGTACTGTGTTAGGGACCTTGTCTGGGTATTCATCCCTGTTCGAAAGATGTCCGAGAAATTACTCAAAAAAAAAAAAATACTTCGGCCCGTATAAGATAACGAGGAAGCTGTTGGAACTGAATTCTGAAGTAGAAGCTCTGGAACAAAGTTCAAGACGGAGGAGACGCAGCCTGAGAGACGTCGTCCATGTACTCCGGATGAAGCCCTACAGAGATCCTGACCAATAGATTTTTACCGAAGAAATATTGCTGACTGGAGACATAATACAATAGCTTGGACAGCGAGGAAGCTGGCAACATCCTGAAGGAAGGACTGTAAGATGTAAATAAGGATGCTAAGACACAATTCGGATTATAGATTATAAAGACAAGGTAAGACGACCAAATTCAAATAATTTTTATTTTACAACTATTTATTTACAACGCTGTAATCGAAACGTCAAACACTATAAATATATTTGGATTTAGTCATGTTATCTTGCAGTTCTAACACATTATCCAAATTGTGTCTTATCATATATAAGAAATGAAATCTATAGATATATGACGTCATTTTGACTGATAAACAACAATGCGAGGTGTTCTACAGTCCCAACGACCCATTTGGACGCGCTATGTAATCTCTGGTGTAGTTTTGTGGTTGGTTGTCTTAATACTGGTACCCTCACTAGTAATCCTTGATAAAAAATATTCATTTAATTTTTTTTATATACAAGCCATAGCTTGTAGCATATAGCTTGTATATAGCCAAAGTTTTTTTTATTAACGCAATTTTTTTTTTTGCCAAAAACTTTTTCATTTTTAGAAAAAAGAAAAAATCTATCTTTTTTTCAGCACTTTTTGAATTATTATCGTTTTATTTACTCTTCTTATCTAATCAACACCTCTCTTCCTTTTATCTTCCCTGGCCTGGGGAATCTAACCTTTTTTGAACAACCTTGGTGACGTACAGCACCTTGGTACTTTGCTATAGTGTATTGTCTGCTTGCTACATTCATTTTTGGGCTCGAAAATCATACACTCTGGTTAGTAGCCCGTAAAACCTATTTCTCTCTCTTCCACAGTCCCTCTTTAATACAATATAATGCGGCTATGATTATAGAACGGCGTTCAACAAGTTTTACCGCAAATATTTCTTTTTCCAGAACAAAAAATCGTAATTTCAATTATTTAAGAAGAAATAACGACTATTCCTATCCTTCGGGATGAAGTATGAAAGGATGAATTGTGAAGGGTAATGATGAACGGAAAAATAAAAGTGTCCAGTTCCGTTTATCATTACTCTTCACAATTCATCCTTCCATACTTCATCCCTAAGGATAGAAATAGTCGTTATTTCTCCTTAAAATAATTAAAATTACGATTTCTGGTTCTGTAAAAAGAAACATTTGCGGTAAAATTTGTTAAATGTTGTTATACTTATCACTTACCTTTGACAATCATTTTGACACTCAAACTTGTATAAATAACGAATGAAGATTTTTAGACGCGAATGTTTCTTTTCACAAATAAATCAAACTTCTACTGTCCTTACTGCGATGAAAAAAATTATTGGAAGGGCTTGACTCATCAGTAGTAAACCCTCCAAGCGGTTTCGCCAATTTAATCTACCAGACCGTTTCTTTCTAACTCCAATACTGTATTGGATCATTCTGCTTTTATATGCAACATTGAAGGGAAGAATCTTAGAAATGGTATTCAACCAATCTATGGATATTAGCTTTTAGGACAGTAGAATTACATTTGAATATTTGCATTGAACAATGTTCTTCCGCAAACAATAAGGATAATTTGAGTCAAAATGAGGATAAGTTAGGCAGAAAAATTTTCATCTTTCAACGTCATAGTCCCTCTATATTATCTTCTAGATGTTTTTCTCACATTGTCGGTCTATAGGTTATGACATCTATGTAGAGTATTTCAGACTTACTTCACACAATTGGTTTACGTGTGTTCTACCAAGAAAAAACTACAATACGTAATGTATCCTGTACATTTTTTCACCTTATTTACAAATAACTTTAATTGAAAAGGCATATATTGGATCAAAATATCATTTTTTTAAACCAATATTTCAGTTGGCTGAACGCCAACCTATATCAAGGTGTTATAACATATTAAAGTGTGTCAACAATAAACTCAGCGCCACATAACGTCAACAGAATTAAGTTTTTAAAATATTTTGTTATATTCAATGGGAAGAAAAAATTACTAAAAACTATTATAGTTATATTGGGAATCAAACCCACAGTGTTCGGCTTACCAGGCAGATGCCATGTCCACTAGGCTACCCTAGACATATTCTTCCGTTCGTAACTATTATATAAAGTTAATTTATAATACAATATAATGCGGCTATTATTATAGATCGACGTTTAACAAATTTAACCGCAAATGTTTCTTTTTACAGAACGAAAATCATAAAAAGAAGCATTTTTAGCATTTTCTGTAAAAAGAAATAGACGTCGTTCTATAAGCATATCCGCATTATATTGTATTATAAATTAACTTTATATAATATTTACGAGCGGAAGAATATGTCTAGGGTAGTCTAATGGACATGGCATCTGCCCAATAAGCGGAACAATGTGGGTTCTATTCCCATCCCTGGTAACTTTTATATTTCCGTTTATCATTACTCTTCACAATTCATTCTTTCATACTTCATCTCTAAGGATAGGAAAAGTCGTTATTTCTCCTTTAAATAATTAAAATTACGATTTTTCGTTCTGTAAAAAGAAACATTTGCAGTAAAACTTATTAAACGTCGTGGAATAACTATTGTCTTTATATATTTTATTCTCTAATCTAATTCTATAACATTCAATCTATGATTAGTATCTTTTATTTAGTTCATTTCATGCTTGTAAAATATCCGCTCACTACACAAAATAAAAAGGTAAAAGAAATGCTGTAAGAAATTAAATTTTACGAAATATAATTCAGAAGGTTATATGACTAGCAGAGTTTATATCAAATATGTGAAATTACTCTGAGAGAAAACTGACAAAAACAATAACAAGACTTATAACAAAACACTATAAAGAAATGACAATACATCCAGATGGCACAAGAACTTATAGGGCATGCAACAACTGTCCTGGTGTGGAACTAACACCTACTCACATATTCTCATGCCCAGCAATGGCCGCAGCCTTGCAGAAAATTGACATAGACCCAGAGCAGCAGCTTTACACACCCAAGATAGTGGGCATTGCTGCTGCTGTGATGGAGATGCATGGAGACATCTGAGGCTCTTCTTTGGACACGACAACAAACAACATGACTGGCAATACAATTTTCTAATTAGAGTTCAAAAAGGTATCTTCCAAGCACGCTAATTCAAATCTAGCAACAAACAAGAGTCGAGGAACGTAGCAAAACTCAAGGTCCTGTCTGAACCTCCATCTGACTATAAATCAAAATCGGAAATTTACGGCCCCCTCAGCTAATGATGACGTGGCAGAAGGCAGGTGATTGGACGATATTCTCATCCATCTGTTGGTTGACAGAATTTATTGTTGGGTTTAGAGAATTTTTCACACTTTCTCAATTTGTACAAAATATCTCTCTCTCACACTCAATCTGTTTCATTACACTCTTATTAAAGGCTTATGAATGCCCGTTTTTTAATTTAATTTAATTTTATTCGCGATCGAACGTTGTACTGTACGTATCACATCCCAAACACGACACCAGCCATCTATGTCTTGAGCTCGATGTACCATCTCGGCGACCGTTAAGCCAGCGAGTTCCTTTAATTGGTCATCATTTTTATTCCCGATCGAACGTTGTGGCCCATTGTACGTATTACATCCCAAACACGACGCCAGCCATCTCTGTCTTGAGTTCGATGTACCATCTTGGCGACCGTTAAGCAGGTGAGTTCCTTTAATTGGTCCACGAAGCATTTCGGTGGGTGTCCAGGTGTACGTCGCCCAAACGTATTTCTAGTCAGTATGGTGTACTCCATTCTCCTGCGTCGCGCGATGTATGCCCTTATCATATATAAATATCAGTGTTTTTATTCTTTCATTTATTATTTAACTTTTCCTCGGATCTACCAAGAGAAATTTATTTATTAGCTCGATTGTCTTCATTAAGTTTCTAGGAATATAAATTTCATTATTATCATAGGGGGGGACAAAGTCTGACTGCCATGTGGTGGATAGTCAACCAACGACAGCATCTCTCCATCATGGAGACTTATGGACTACTCCATGACATTGTATAATTATACAATGGGATATTTAAAAAATAATAAAAATTATTATCAATAAATGTGAATAGCCATTTCTTTTTTCATTTGTAGACTCAGTGGTAAATCTATTTATACCAATTTTTTTTCCTCTGATTTACATAGACCAATCTATAAGCTTGATTGTCTTAATTAAGTTTTCCTGTATACAAATTGCATTATTACCATTAAATGTAATTAGCATTTACTTTTTCTTTAATATTTTAATTTGCAGACTCCATATATATATATGTATATATAAGACTGAATGTCTTAATAAAGCCATTTGTGTGTGTATTTCCTCATATTATATTATGAATATAAATAAGTTCGTGCGGTTTTTTTTTTTCAAAACTTAAAGCTTTATTGTGAAAATTTGGTTAGACATTCAATGTTCAAAGTATTGTCCGTCGCTAGCCACTACTTTTTCCCATCTTTCTGGCAATTGACGGATCTCATTTTGGAAAAAGGCCGGCTCTTTGGCCGCTATTCATTCATCGATCATCGTAATTGGAGAAATGCTGGTCAGCCAGGCCATGTTGCATTGATCAGAAGAGATAATAAACGGAAGGAGCAATATCTGGGCTATATGGCGGGTGGGGTAAGACTTCCCATTTGAGCGTTTTTAAGTACCTTTTAACGGGTGCTGCAGAATGTGGCTGAGAATTATCATGTTACAAGATAACTTTGTCGTGTCTATTGGCGTATTGTAGCCGTTTTTCTCTAATGCTCGGCTCAAACGCATCAGTTGTCTTCAGTAGACCTCCCTGCGATACTTTTGTTCGGTTGTAGCATCTCATAATATAACACTCCTAGCTTATTTATACTCCCAATAATTATATAAATAGATATATAAATTTGCATTAATATAATCGACACATTTTTGATCTCTATTATTCATATGATTTTGAATATTAACAAAATTTATTAGGGATTTTACAAAAAAGTTTTAATAATACAGAAAGATATATATATTTGCTTATCCCTAGTTCACGTGGTACAGGACATGATAATCATGGTGGGTAGTTAGCGACTGCTTTTTTTACTGTAAGCGCACCACATGTCTACACATGTGAAAAGCAGTTCGACTTTGCACTTACAAATGTGCCAGAGCCCCGTTTGGTTACTTGCACTCGCTGGTGCGTCACAAATTTAGATTTTTGATTAAAAGAAACATTCGCGGTATAATTGCAATTTTCGTTTTACGAACATATATTGTGTTAATTATATTCTAATATATATTCATCCCTAATAGTCACTTGACCGAACTTAAGCCATTTTTATATACACTCATTGACAAAACTTAAGGGAATTGAAGGTTTTTGGATAAAGCCGATATTCTATATATATATTTTTTTTTTTCTTTTTTTTTTTTTTGGAGACAGAGGTTGTTCACACTTGGTTATTTCGTGTATCTTCAATAAAGGTCACAGTAATATCTTTCAGAGTTATTGTCTTAATCCCGATATACATGCTAGAAGGTACAACTTCAGAGTTATTGTCTGAATCCCGATATACATGCTAAAAGGTACAACTTCCTTAAGTTTTGTCCATGAGTGCATATTTCAGAGTTATTGTCTGAATCCCGATATACATGCTAAAAGGTAAAACTTCCTTAAGTTTTGTCCATGAGTGTATCCTTCAGATTTATTGTCTGAATACTGATATACATGCTGAAAGGTACAACTTCCTTAAGTTTTGTCCATGAGTGTATATTTCAGAGTTATTGTCTGAATCCCGATATACATGCTAAAAGGTAAAACTTCCTTAAGTTTTGTCCATGAGTATATTTTAGATACGTAAATATAATTTTTAAAAGTTAAATAAATATTTATAAGAATTTTGCATTTAGTTGAGTTGCATATGGGACTACTATCGGTCTCTCTCTAACAACAATATTTTCTTTAAAATGTATCAAGAAGGTAGATTTCAAAGGCGTTTACAGATTTCTAGATTCTATTGATGTTTGATTCTGGAGGAGGAAACTTATATCGGATACAGAGGTTTTTTTTTTTCAAACAAACGATATCTCTTGGCATCAATATGAAACTTCAAACTTCCCTGATCTAAATGATTTAACTCTCTTATATCAAGATTATATAAAAGGGCGTACCTGGATCTGTAAAGAAAAAAAATGTTTTTTTTTCTTTACAGATCCAGATACGCCCTTTTATATAATCTTAATTAATGGATCGCCTTTTGACTCAATCTCTCATATTAGCGATTTTGTCTCTATTAATTTTAGGAACTCTGTCGAATAATACATATAAATTTGTAAATATTTAATCCTAAATTAGACGTAAAACATGGTGAAGGAAGACGAGTTTCTTTTATTGATGCATAGGTGCAAGCTTTCGGGTAAAAGCCCTTCAACAGGCGAGCATTGAAGCGCGACTTATAAGAACTATGGTACAAATGGTAGGAAGGAATATATATATATATATAAAAGGAAAGTTACCATATTTCTTATAAGTCGCGCTTCATTGCTCGCCTGTTGAAGGGTTTTTACCCGAAAGCTTGCACCTATGCATCAATAAAAGAAACTCGTCTTCCTTCACCATGTTTTTCGTCTAATTTCAATTCAGGAATAATTCTTTATCTATATTTAATCCTAAAGTTCAACATTTTTGTTTTGGTCGTTTCTTCTGTAATAGTGGAAATACTTCAAAATATCGCGCCTTGTTGATTAATAAATGAAATAAAAACTACCCCCATAACTTTAAATATTTATCCACCAGAAGTTGAAATATTATTCATGAAATATTTTTGATCCCAATTTGTCGTTCGTATATTTATTCTCTAAGCATTATTTTCGCACAAATTGGCATTAGCATGCTTAAAAGGTTGCTGAATAAAATTTCAGACCATTAAAAGAGTTGCAAGTATTCAACAGAAGCATTATATTATTTACAATGTTTTCCCCATTTTTTCTTCATATAGTCTCTCCTAGCAATTACTTGCCCATACGGAGTGGTAAAACGGATGGCGGGTGATATGGAGAGACCATGTGGCCCACCCTCAGTAGAGGAAGGTATTGAAGAAGGGAGATATGGAGAGACCATGTGGCCCACCCTCAGTAGAGGAAGGTACTGAAGAAGGGAGATATGGAGAGACCATGTGGCCCACCCTCAGTAGAGGTAGGCATTGAAGGAGGGAGATATGGAGAGATCATGTGGTCCACCCTCAGTAGAGGAAGGTACTGAAGGAGGGAGATATGGAGAGACCATGTGGCCAACCTTCAGTAGAGGAAGACACTGAAGGAGGGAAATATGGAGAGACCATGTGGCCCACCCTCAGTAGAGGAAGACACCAAAGAAAAAGAGGAGGCACTACATTTCTATTCATCTGGCTGACAGTTCAACCTCACATTTGCAAGG